TTTCCCACTCACCCTTTTCCCATTGCTTAGTGGTTAGTCCGCCCCACTCCCCATCAGCCGGCACGGCAACTCCTCTGTCCGTGTGACATCCAAGACCGGCTCGAAATGTCACCGGCAAAACAGGTCATCGTGAAAGTGAAGCAGCACCACACCAGTCTCCTCCTTAATCCGTCCGGTGGCAGGTGTACGGCAGGCAGTGTGCTCTGATGTAACTTTAATCTTAACGCTTCCCTCTATTTGCAACATTCAGCTGATCTCAGGTGTTGCCCAATACTGAAGTTGCGTCCGTATTCTGAAAAGCTGGGTGGATTTTCTCCATCATTGATGAAGTATCCCTTCCTCACATGTGGCTTTATGTCCAGCAGCCTTCCTACCAGTGTTCCTTCCCCAGCCCGTACGTGTGGCCCTCCAGTAAGATGTCGGCAGGAAGAATGAAAGACAAATCATTCTTTGTTATACGTGCAGGTTTTTTCTGCCCTGTTAAAATGTATTCCTGTAGAAAGTATTCCTTTTTTTTAATTAAAAAAAAAAAACATGCCAGATGAATCGTTTATGTAAAAACATTAAAATGTGAGTTTTGCATGCCGTGTGTCCGCAACCGTCTCTAGGAGTTTGGCTGTTTCAGGTGCCCGGGGTATGTTGCCTTGAGACGTGACAGCTGATTTTGTGGAATCGCTTTTCCCCAGCGCTTCCATGCTGGGCTAATGCTGGAACTGTGTCATAAGTCAGTGCGACTAGTCCATCTGTGTCCAGATTCTGAAATTTCCCTGGGATTTCAGACATTGTTTATCCTTCTGCCCTTAGTCAGCAGAACGGCATCAGTGCTGAACGTTGGCAGTTAATGCCTTCGTAGTAAATGCTGTCTTCACCTGCTTCTGCCACGCCGGTTCGAGCAGGCGAATTCCCTTTGAGGCTGGCAGGATGCTGATGTATAATTTACATGGTGGGGGGAAAGGGCTCCCAATTGAGAATATAGTGAGGCTGCTTCCTGTATCTTGCCTCTCAGTGGCCTGTCAGTTTGGAGAAGTCTTCAGTGCAGATCCGGTAAGATAAAGGCCAGTGACTGCTCTAAGGGAAAGTGCAATCTGGCAGCTTTTTATCTGCTAGCTGGGAGCCCCTCTTTACTTCTGTGTCAAATATGGCAAGGTAATGTGGTGGATGGAATGGAAATCATTGAAGGAGCAGCTTGGTAAAAGTCTGGGGCTGTGGCTCAGTTTTTCCCTTTTTTTAAATGCCCCTTATGATGGTATTGTACTCTTGCAAGTTTCTGCTTAAATTCAACTCTGCTTATGTACGTTAATCGTTTTTAAGTGTTTGCTGCCTCCGGCCCCCAGTTCCCCCCTCAATGGATTCTGTTTGCAGAACCGCTGGCTGTTCCTCTATTAAAACACCCGAAGATTAATGTGATACATCTGTGTTTTGCCAGCGAGCTAGCTTTATTCTTTAATTTATCTCTGATGGGTCATCATAATAATCAGGCTTGAGAGCATTAAGTGTTATTAAAGGTGTGCCTTGATCTTGGCAATCTGTTGTGCGTGTGTTTGACTGGTTCGTAAGTGGCAGAACATTGACAGTGCCAGGTTTGGCCCTCTGGAACTGTTGTCTTCATGTACAGGCCTTTTCCACTACCCATCATTTTGTTATCAAGGCTGCCGTTGGGTAAGTCACCATTAGAAACAGCATTGCTTGTGTTACTCCTTGCCAGCCAAAGTCCTGCATGTCCAAAGGGAAATCCTTCCGGTGAATGTGTGAGAGAATTAGTCTTGTTTTCTGAAATATCATCCTTCAATGTCTCTGGGAGACATTAACGTTCTGACTTGTGATGGAAGCTAGGACTAGAATTGAATTCCACCTCTGCCCTCTGTGTAAACACTCGTCTTCATTTACCGCGATGTTTACTTTAAGCCCATTCTGCCTCTTTCTTATGATTAATTCTTGGCCTGCCTGGTTGTTGGTGTCTCATAGCTTGGGAAACACATGACAATTTTCAGCCCGTGTTTCACTGTGTAGACAGGAAAAGGGAAATAATTTCTGTCTAACCAGGCATGTGGAATAATGCGAAGCGAAAACTTTCTAGTCTGCTCTAAAAGGAACCCCCCCCTCTGGCCTCTTCCTTATGGCCCCGTGTCTTAATGTTGCAGATTAGAGCCACCCCGGTCCCGGAGGTGACTCCCATCTGTGTCACTTGGCAGGCATGACATGACCTCTGAATCAGGGTGCGCTACCAGTTTTGTTTTGTTTATTTTTTTGGCAAAAGTACGCCCTGCAGCATCTGTGTGGTAGCAGCTCATTGGATATTTTACATTACACAAGTGAAACTAGTATAAAAATCCAGTCAGTGTTATCTTACTGGGTAATCAGAGCACAGCAGTGTGTTGTGTGTCTTTCAAATGCCTTCTTTTGTCCTGCATGTGGCGGTGGATGGCTGAATACGTGATGGGGGGTGGGTGGGAGTGATACAGTCAGATATTTGGGCACCACGAGCTGATCATCTCTCCTGACGCTCACCTGCAATCAGGAATAAGGCGTAAGACGCTTAAAGTCTCAGCAAACCGTCTGTCAGTTTTGTTTGCACATCCTCAACACAGGAGCCTAATTAGAGTGATTAGCAAAGTCTAACCATGGAAACAGTGAAAGTACGAAAATCAAACCAAACGTTTGCACTCTTAAACCTACGGGTGAACTGCTTTTAATGTATGAATGGGTATAGCTAGACACTACAGACACCAAGGACATAAAGGGAGACGGCTTCAGTTTTATATCGTTTTTTTAAACGTATTCGGAGCGATATTCCCTTGGAAATACTCTACTGGATGTTGTTTTCAACATTTTTTTTTACCCCACTGTTTACCAGCAATGGTAATACAGCTTTACAGGAAGAAGACATTCCAGAGCCCAATAATGTCCATTATTGATCGTCTGCCTGCAGAAGGACACTCTGTTGTTCTGTTGCGCACACCACTGCCTGGGGGGTGCTGTCGAACGCGCAGAGGCAGGCGGGGGGGCTAGGCAGAAGATGGGTGGGGGCAGCAGGCTGCTGTTGTAGCCTGGGGTCACTCCGTGTCTGGGTCTTGTCGTACAGGGAACTGCTTGCTGCTTCTGTCAAGGCGATCTGATCTCCAGCCGCACTTTTGCTCCCTCCCAGCTCCCGGTGGACTGTCAGGGGGTCCCTGAGGACTGGGTTGGGAAACACTGGTGTTGATTTACGCCCCGGGCGCGTAACGCTGAGAGGTTCATTACAGGCCGGCTTCCACTCTTGCTGTTAAATGTGGCAACGGAGAGTGTGCAAGGAATGTGGGAGCCCCAAGGAGCGAGTACGTGGCCCTCGTAGCATGGGTGCGATCATCCCTAGATTAAACGCAGCGGCAGTGTCTGCAGCGTGATCCAGCTGGCGCGGTCGCTCACACTGTTTTTTCCCAGCCTCTCCATTTCCCAGAGTACCCTGCTCCCCACCCCCCCGTAAATCCGTCAGGAATAGCCGTGCCGAACACAGAAGCTGCCAAGCCGGTGTTAACAGGGCCATCTGTGTTGACACAGACTGCTGTTATTGTCAGGTATCTTCTAAATGTCCCACTAATGTTTACCTCAATGTTGTGAGCTTTTATTTTCATTTTACCCTGTATGACTCTAACAAGGAATGGAGACCCATGATGTTTTAAGGTGTTAAAAAAAATAGTTTTCTCAGTAATACAGCGGAATTCACACGTTGCTGTTTTCTGTTATAAGAAAGACGAAGGTACGTCTCTGTGCTGATGTGAATGAAATGTTTCTCGCATCGATGTCATCTCGTGGTGTTTGCTAATTTCCTCTCTCCCTCCTCAAATCGCACAGTGCTTATTTGGCCTGATGTTCAAGTCTCCTACGCTGTCCAGTTTCACTATGAGAATTTGTTTACTATGACTGCCATTCTGATTCCCGAGAAATCAGGGAGCAGTGACCTCAGCATGTCTTTAAGATCGATTAAGAAAGATAAAGATAGTTTGTGGAGTGCAGTGGCACATCTTTTCTTCGTGCATCTTATATTAACTGGAATGTGACAAGCTCTATGTTCTTCTAAAAACCACAGCTCTGTGTGTGACGACTGCTGGATTCCTATGAAGTCATCTGATGCAAAATGCTTTTGTGTTTGTGTGGAAATTTTATGGCCCGTGCTGCCGCTCATTGGGCTGCACTGTTGCATAACACCTGCTGTGCTGGAGTCCCACCCCCTCTCCATGTGTGTTGCATGGGGATCCTCTCGGTTTCCTCATGCAGTCCAAAGACATGTTGTTAGGGAAATGGCATCCTTAAAACGCCCAGAATGTGTGTGTGTGCCCTGCGGCAGACTGGCATCTTATCCTTTTGCCTGTGCTTTTTGGGATCAGTTCGAGGCTTTTCGTGACGGCGTACTAGATAACCAAGTGGAAGAGAGATGAATAGTGGAATTTCTTATCTTTTTTTCTGTTTTTTTTTTCTTTTCTTTTTAGAGCTATGATGCTTGAATGCACACACAGTTCTGGGGGGTAGCAAGGGATGGCCGCGGCCACGCTAGACTGAAACCTGGTCCCACATTGACCCCCCCCACCCCCCATCATATTTGTATTTTGGTTAAATAAGACTTTGATAATAAAAAAACTCCTTTTATTACGTAACTGTTTCCCTCTGTCCCTGATCATATACTGATAAAGAATGAGCTCATAGTGTTGCTGAGCTAAACGTGCTCTCAGAACAGGAGTAATGCAGAAGTTTGGGAATGTTGTTCTTAGTGTAAGTCTGTTACCTTCACTGCAAGAAATGTTTAAATTAAATGTGTATTTGATAATTCCACCACTGCCTGAATTATCAACAATGTTGAGTTATAGTGTTTAGGAACCTTAAATATCCCCTTATGTTCTAGGTGCCTTTTTTTATAAATATGTGCTACCCCAAAATGACCACCCGCTGAAATTTTTCTGGCTCCACCACTGCTTTAATGCTGTGCTGAAACCGGAGTCCCATGTTTCCTGTTCCTCTTGCTGCAGGCCATGGATGGTGTTCCGCCACAGTAAGGGCATGGTCTGAGAAGCTCCGTCAGCCAGCCATGTGTCAAGCCGGAGCCTAATGCACATCCAGCCCGCGCCTCCTCTCATGGACGGGGACGACTTCCTGCACCCGGAGGGCCCCCAGCTCGAGGGGGGCCTGTATGGCCTGGGCAGCTCGTCGCTGCTCCACGTGCCCATGCAGGTACATCCGCAGTTTAGCCACGGGCTCTGCCATGTTTCTAATTAGAAATTGCAATTGGAAGCTCTTAATTACCGGTGCCTGCTGAAGTGTAATTTCGTATGCTCTGTTCCTGGGAAGCCACGTGGACCGATTCTGGGTCAGAACTTAAGTCTCCCCTGAATGCCAGGGGTTCATTTATTGGGCACTTGAACACACAGTAATGATGTTTTAAATAATTAACTTGGAGGGGGTGTAATGCCATATACTGGTTCCAGCCCGGCCAATAGAATCAGGCACTGGAAGCAGATGCTGAGTTTTTACGGAACCTGAAGTATTTGCCAGCCAAAAGGCCAACTGGCCACACTTTTAGAAGTAGAGGTCGTACTGCCTCTTGGTTGTGGGTTCTACCAGCCTCTTGGTTGTGGGTTCTACCAGCCTCTTGGTTGTGGGTTCTACCAGCCTCTTGGTTGCGATGGTGGTTCCGAGAAAGAATCAGTGATTTTTGTGGGACTGATTTGCTGTGGGTTATTTTTCACCTATTGTCTCGGGGGTAGATTGATGCACTAAAGCAACATCAGGCTACTTCGGATCACTGCATCTGGTACTTTCAGTATTTTCCCTTATTTTTTTGATTCCCAGTCATGTACCAGTACCAAAATTTACAGTACCTGAAGTGCCAAACCAACTTAAACACTTTCTTCTTTTTTTAAACATACTAGAAAATCTTGAAAAGCAATAATCATTAAAATAGCAACACTGGATTTTTTTTTTCTGTGACAGAGTAAGAATGTTTTAGCATAACTCCCTGTGCTGTAATGTCCACACATTGAATAGAAGGTAATATTAATCTGGCTGACTAGCAATGCTTGAATTGCATGTGCATAACATGCGATGTTCGTATTAATATCGCATATCTTCCTTATGCTACCCATTTTTCGAATTCAGTACAAAATACCCCACCTCGCGTTGTGATGTCATTCAGGACCGGTACCAGTTCTTACGCCAGTGGAAAATCAGCACCTTAAAGTACCGTACTTTTGTTTTTTTTTCTTGATGTACCTGGTGCGGCGGAAAGGCTCCCTTAATCTCCCTCCATGTGATCATGCAGGATTAAATGTCAGGGCTTGTCTTGGGGCTCATAGTAGGTCAGAGGGTCCGTAGCTGGGTTCCTGGAACTCCCCACCCCGAGGTTATGGCCTGTTTCACTCGTACCCTCCCACATGCCCTGGGTGTCCCTTTTTACCCTCTTTGAGCACCCTCTCTTCCCATATTAGGATGTTTTACTGCATGCTTTCTCTTCCCTCATTTCTCCCTGGCATATCCGCAGTCCCAGTCGTTTCGCGCTCTCTCTGGTCTTTGCCATGTCGGGTTTTAACCAGCTTTTTTCCCCCCTCCAGAGTCAGATGTACCCCACTAATTCCTGGAGATTCACGCCGCAATCTGCATACAACTTGACCAGTTCTATGCAATCTGGAAACCAGTAAGTATAGAGATTGTTCTGAAACTTGCTACCTCCATCGCCTTTGGTCTGTTTAGGGTATCTCTTTTCCTCTGAAAAACCGTGGCAGTATGGAGATATTAAGCGCTCATCATCTTCTTGATGGCTGTCAAAAGCTTGTTTTACTGCCTGCGAACCTTTGGCTTTTGTAGGCGGTGTGAGTTTCAATCCGGTAAGTGACTGGTTTTTTTTTGTGGCACCCGTATGGATATCAGCGTATTGTCTCACGCATCATGCTGTCTCAAAAGTCTTTTTAAAAAGAAAGAATGGGAATTACTGGGAGTTTTTCTTTTCGCCAGCTGGCCTTCAAGACACACAGACTGTCCCGATGAGCGAACTTTCATGCCGGTCTGACACGTCAGGACCTTCACTCTGGATACTCTGTAGTGGGATGTAACTACCATCTTGCCAGTCTTATGTCTTCAGTAGCCCATTTCTTCATGGCACCCTGTCCTGGGTGTGATCGGCGACCCCCACCCCCACCACCCCTTCACGTGGGACTACATGCAATGTTTTTGATCATCTAGGTATGCGGAGAACAATAGCCCCCTGGTTTTGGGAATTCATTAGTGGATTCAAGAGGTGGGCATTTGTCCCAGATAGAAGAAGCCGAACCAATGGAGACGGCAGTGCTTTTGTTCTTTGAAAATCTCCTGAGCTATTTTTCTATTTTTTTTTCCTATTACAATAGTGGTAGTTCAGAATTCTGTTCAGCACGGTGGCTTTTCTGGCTCTTTCCTGCGCTTTTGCTCTCTCTGCCCCTGTATCAGCTTCCGCCCCCCGCTTATTATTCTGCCCTGTCTTCTCTCCGCCATTATCGAAACCCCTTTCGGCTACCGGCTATACCAACTCCAGGGACTTCATCTCGGTACTGCAAAGGAAAGAGTTTTGGTGAAGCGGCATAGACCTCAACCCAGACTGTCATGTTTTGGCCGCTTGTGGCCTCGGGCTTTAAGGCAGGGCCTTCGGGTACACACACCTGGAAGGGACACGGCTGAAAAATCAGTAAATTTCACTTTCCACCCATTTAAAGTGGTGTTCCAAATGCCTGGAGCAGCTGGCAGTTTTAGACATTGCCCTGTGGACGGTGCCGTCTGAATGTTTTGACACGCCCCCCCCCACCCCCACCCACAGGAACGGTGGCCTTACTGAAGCTGCACTTGGTTTTGACAAGAAGTTCACCATCCTGACCACGGTCGATTTCTTCCTCCCTCGATAATGACTTAACGACGACATACCCCTGAAGGAAGGGGGAGTGGCCAGTTGTAGACTTGGTCACAGAGGTAGGAAAGTATGGCGTGAAAAGATTTGGTCAGGTGGTCATTGTATGAGTCAGTGAAAAGGAGGAGAGGTGTCCGTTTGTTAGGGTGCTTAATCCCTGTTGTTAGAGAAGAGGCCGCATACCTGCTCCTCGAGGAGTGCTTATGCTCGATTTGCAGGCCAGAGAAGCATGTCCCTGGCCACCTTAAGGTGGAACCCAGGAGCTTGCATGTGCCTCCTCTGTTTATGCGTGAAGAGAATGGCCTTCATGCAAAAAAGCCTGCAGTGTCTCGTGATGACTTGCAACGAGGAAGTGTGTAAAGTGTAGTGATTTCTGAGCAGCGTTATCATAGTGTGATATTACTACCCTACCCTGATAGGCTTATTTACCCTGAGTCAAAGCGAAACCACACAGTCGCCTAGCTGCCTTTCTGAGGACATCGGACTGAGGTAATGGAAATCGCTGTTTTACGTTAATAAATACTCGGTAAATGGATGTCGGCTGTCACTGGAGCACTTTGTTCCATCTTTCGGGGTAATAATTGGACTTTCCTAGTGTAAAGCTAGTTATTTTCCATGAGGAAGTGATTCTCTTAAACGACGCTGCAGTTGTTTTCCGAGATGGCTGTCACGTGACCGGGGGGGCTGGAAGACGACGGCGTGGGGAGACTCGCTGTGTGATTGCGAGGGGGGCCAGCAGAGGTGACCTCCCTGCCCCTATGGGAACAGGAAACGGTGATGATAGCACAGGGGTGACCGATGGCCGCCCTTGATTCGAGCCGATGTGTCATGTGACGGTAAGGGCAGAGTGACGTGCAGAGCTGTGAATCAATTGGCAGCAATGAACTGGGAACCTTGTGAATCTGCAGTGCTATTTATAGGCTGAAGGCTTCGAGGTTATTGCCAGCCGGCTTGAATATTGCGTAATGACAGGCAATAATGTGACGTGCCACCGGGCTGAATGCTGCTGTCAGTCTGGGAGGCAGAGGTAGGGGGAGCAGGAACGAGCGGAGTCCAGGGGACCGCCTAGAAGCCACCGGGGGCAGTCAGGGGCCACACGGCTGGCCACGAGGGCAACGTTGTGATGAAGGAGCCTCTGTGCGTGTTTGCCACTCCTGCCTCGTGTTTTCCACGAGTTTTGTTGTTGTTGCCGACGTGGGTCGTGTCCATAGGTCACACCGGGGCGACATGCATGTGTCTGACCAGCTGTTCTGTTGTGTGTGTCTCTCTTAGGCAATACCACTCAAATCCTGCTTTGGATATGCACCCGGAAATATTCGACGACGTGGATTTCACAAACTTTAGCCTGCCCACCAACGGAGACTTTTCTCAGGTGAGTGCTGAGAGATCCTGCTCTCGCTCCTGCCATCCATCATCTATAAGATTGGTGACTCATAATGCCCCCTGTGCACTGGGGCTTGCTGTCAGTCCCCTTCCTGTCCCTTCTAGAGAGTTTCTGACTTCTTGGTTTTTTTTTCCCATCTGGATGATAAAAGTGCTCTCAGGAACCAATGTGGTCTGATTTATATTTCACAACTATCCACCCACCCTCACCTTCCCTGCCACCTTGTACTAATAACGGTATTTACTGTAATAGCAGCCCCCATGCCAGCCTGAATTGTGGTCACCGCCTCTGGTTTGAATGATCTTTTTGCTGGCTTGACCTGTAGCGGTATTAAAAATAGCTAGTGTGTGCACGCTGCAGTGGAAGGTGTGTAGGAAGGGGATCACAGGGCGCTGATGCAGTGTTTTACACAGTGCTTAACTGGCGCCGGATCCAGTCAGAATGCAGTTCAACAGCTCAGTTTTTGTCTGTCTGCATTCCGGCATTTATTTGCGTGGATCCGACAGCACTCTGGTTAAAAAAACAAAGACAATAACTTAAAAAATAAGATAACCATGTGTTTTAATATACAGATCGATTTTAACACAATTTCACATTTTTTATTAGTTTTGATGTATTCTTAAAAATACAATACTTGTTTTCTACACTGTGTTTTGCACGTATTCCAGGACCTGCGCTTGCCTCAGTACCCCTCCTCTCATATACTGTATGCATTCTGAACAAACGAAGCACTTACCATAGCGGGGTCCCTCCTGATTGGCTGCAGCCCCCCGTCCGCCTTTACAGAGCTCTCTGATGCGCGTGACACGTGGCATCATGAGAATCTGGCAGCTGGAGTTGTGTTTCCTTTCGCCTTTTATGTTCTCTTTGCGGTGCCCAATCCGCACTTTAGTTTTTTTCCCCCCTTTGCCGTTTCCTGAAACCCCGGGTTGGTCGATGTCTCCACGCTCTTGCGGGTGCCCCGGGCCGCATGGTTACACACGCCGATGGCTCCTTTGCGCTCCCTAATCAAATGGAAGCGTGCTTTGCGTGCGTGCCCCCCCCCCCCCTGCATGTCCTCAGAATCCAGGAAATGATCAGCTGTGCCCCCTTTCTACCATGGCGATCCAGGGCTCCTTTTGTGACTCGATTTGGAGCATGGCCTCATGTGTGTGCAGCCTTCAGCCGACAGCATGGCGTTACAGGCCATAGGGTCGGCCGCAGGGTCCCCGACCCCTTTGTGGTTAAGCGGGGGCGACCAGGTTGGGCGTACTGCAGCTCAGTCGCTCAACTCCGTAACGTTTACACCTCTGCTACAGGTGTTTGCCTCCAACCGCCGCTGATCACACTCATCCTGCAGAAGTGAGACCGCGCTGGCCGTCCGTGTTGTTTTTGTCATCTCCCGTGCGAGAAGTGCAATTGTTGCCCTTTGTTGTATGTGAGCGTAATGCTCTATCAGGATTTCCTCCTATTGTGAAGAGCCGCCACGCACGCTGTTTACAGGATGTTCGCGCGCGCAGTGAAAACAACCCCCGATAACCTCCATGTCAGCCTTAAGGAGTCGAGGTCGGCGTTCGCACATTCTGGTCATCTGCTCTCATGCCCCGCATCCTCGGCATGTGCGCGAAGGGCCTCGTGTTTGCCTGGGAATTCTGGCTCAGCTGCAGGCCGTAAGGGCGAACGAGTGCAACCCGGAGGAGATGCCGGGCTGACTCATCCTGCTCGGCCTGCAGGGGGCTCTGTTCCCACCACAGGCCAGCGTCCCGCTGACAGTGACTCCCCCCGCTTTTGGCGGTATGCCTCCGCTGTGTGCCCCTCTGCCCCGCGCCGGCCGTCAACTCCCCGGCGACGCCGAAAGCCACGGCTGATTCGCGGTAACGAAATGACAGGTCGTGGCCTGGCGAGGGTGAGCGCAGCGGGCAGGAAGCCCCTGAGTTTACCACGGAGGGGAAGAGAGCGAGTGGCAGCGTTTCAAACAGCGACAAGCAGTAGTAATGCCAAGTAACCGAGAATAGTGATCGAAAACACTGAGAAACAGTCGCACCGTGGGAGTAGCGCACTGGTTCATGTGCTTTCACGCGCCACACTTGTGCTAAACGGTTTCACTCTGGAGGCACTCTGGTGACTTTCCGCGCACGTGCATCAGGCTTCATGCCGTCTTGCCCGGGTGGAGGTCAAGCTTAGGTGAGGCCACTGGCGCCCCCCAGTGCTTCCATCAGAGTACTGCTGCAGGTAAATGCGTGGGTGCCGCGCCGTGCCGAGTTCTGGGAGATCGCCGGCTGCTTGCTGCTCTGGTTTTCGATGGCTGTGGTCTTTACGCGGCTGTGATATTGTCTCAAAAGGTTTTTCAAGCGTTAACATGAAAAAATGAGCTTCCACAGAGGTCCGGCTCTCTTCTCAGACCACTATGCGGTGCTGTTTCTGCCCCCCCTCCGGGGACAGCCGCATCCCTCCGGCTCCATTGATCGTGCGAGGGGAGGCAGTGACTTGTCCGCGCGGAGGTTTGGACCGCGGTGGGGGTGGGGGGCTGCATTCCCGTCCGTGATGCTCCACCGTCCTCGCCGTCAAGCCCCATGAATCCTGGAAGTAGCGGCTGACCGCGGGACGTGAGGCAACTTTCAGGCAAAGGGCAGCACCGGGCAGAAAGGAAGTCTGTCCCACGGAAGTCGGCGGTTCGTGGATAAAGCCTCCTATAGGTGGTAAAGTGGTTTCTGACTGACTGACGCCGTGTGTAAAATGCCAGCGAGGGCTTTGGGGATGGCAGAGTCATGCATGAGGAGCCATGATTTAGGCGAGTGTAGGAGTCACGGGAACAGAGAGGGAGTCGCACTGTTTACACTAATAATGCGGTTGAGTTACACCATATTCAGAAAAATGGGCTTTACTGCCAGTAATTTCAGTCACTTACCAACGAAGGCATCATTTCCTGAAAGCTCCTCCCCTCCCTCCCTCCCTCCCCCCCTCGGCCACTAAACATCTCTACAAGACGGCCAAACCGTGCGCAGAGTGGGGGAGCCCCTTTCACAATT